TTATATATATATATATGAAATGACTCGGGAAGACATCCCCAACAACATATTTAAAAATGAAGCAAATCGGAGAGGAGGCCCCTTTTATGCATAATTACCAGATGGTCATTTGTACTTCAACAACATGTGTAATGAATAACTTTTTACAAATTGTCATTAAACAGTCGTTCATAAAAGAGTCGTTATCATAACAACATCGTTTAATAAAGACTAATTACAGAGTAGGCCCCTAAGTCGGCATCCCGTTAGAACGAGATTCTACCGCGCGTGCAAAACTCTGTGGCCCACGGTAACGTCCACCGGAAACCACCTCCTCGACGACGACGCTCATCTCTACTCTCTACTCTCTACTCTCTACTCTACTCTCTTCTCTCTCTCTCTCTTCCTCTATTCCTGTCTCTTTCCCTCGTCTATCTCTCTCTTTTTCATTTCTTATTCCCAGCTTCGGTTGCGCGCCTTTATACTGGCGTTCCTCCGATCTTCCTTCTTCGGTTGCGCGCCTTCAACGGCGTTACTCCGATCCTCCGCCTTCGGTTGCGCGCCTTCATCGGCGTTCCTCCGATTTTTCACCTTCGGTTGCGCGCCATCATCGGCGTTCTTCCGGTTTCCGCCTTCGGTTGCGCGCCTTCGTAGGCGTTCTTCCGATTCTCCGCCTCCGGTTGCGCGCCTTCATCGGCGTTCTTCCGATTTCCGCCGCCGGTTGCGCGCCTCCAACGGCGTTCCTCCGTCGGAAAACATCACCTTTCCTCGAACTGGCATTGAGCCGCCAGTCCTCACCAATCTCCACCACGTCGTCGACACCAGTCACCAGGTCTGAACCCCGCAAAAGAAAGGGGGACCTTTTCCGGCTTAACCGACCTTCGTTCCCACTCGTTCTCGGGGCAATTTCGCAGAGACCCCTCGAATAGACAGAATCTCGCTCTAAAATTGGCACACAGCGAAGACTTACCGGGTTTTACATTTTCCAAATTGCATTAACTTCAGCTATTACTCCTGGCTTAATGAGTAAATAAAACCAGTCTCTCTTTTGCCATTTACTCCTTTCATTTTCAGATTAAAGTTAACCACAATCAAATTACTCACTCTCGGGTCCCCTACTACAATTATATTAATCAGAAGTTGCCAAGAATGCAGTGATGAAGGCAATGAAATCGATTACTATAATCGAAGAATCCATCTGAGCATTCTACAAAAAGACAGCGTCTGAAGTTTCAATTTCACTTCATCCCCCGTGACTTTGAAGCTACTACCTTTCTCTGAGTGCCTATTTAAGGGATAATATTATTTAGTACTACGTAGTATTAGTTACAATCATGACTAACAGCATGCATTGCTTCCCTCGCTTTGTAACTCAGCTAATTCGAAATGCTTCCCGCAGGCACCCCCAGAAATGGGCAGATCGCGAAGAGCTGGACGCCTAGTCCAGCTCCGCAGATTAACACGAGCGTACGCTACGCCTGGGGTCTTTGACCCCAGGATTTTTGACAGGCCACTCGAGCCCCCAAAACCAGCAATCCAGCTTCCTCCACCGCAACCTCAGGTCCCATGCCTGACACACCGACTTCCTCCACCGGGGTCACATTCCCCGAACCAGCTCATAGCCCCTCCTCCTACGAAACCTCCGCTCACCCCCGGCCACCCACACTTCCTACCGCAATATAGGCCACCGGATCCCTGCCCGGTCAGAGCGTGGGCACCACGCCCGCCGATCACCCCCGCGCCTAGGCCTCCAAAGGCCAGCCTTGCCAGGGCGCCCCCTGCGCCACCGGCAGAAGAAACAAGGAGGCCTCCGCCGGAACTTGAGGCCTTCCGACGCAACCAGACCCCTCGCAAGATTCGACCCTGCGTGGTAAAAATTGAAGCCCTCCCCACTCAAGTCCGGGTCATCCGCAGGCCACCCTGCCTGCCTAGGGTAAATAGAGACATGCCCCCTCTGTAAATGACCCCCTTCGTTTTTCTGTATTGTCTCATTGTCAGATAATTTCTTTATATATCTCAAATGGTTTTCTTTTATCAACTTTCATTTTTTTTCGCTATCTGATAATTTTGTTCTCGGCTACACTCTTGTACACTATGTATACATATATATATAATTAAATCTAGTTCCACCACAATCCAGTGTAATTCCTCCTTTATATTAACCACCCTGCCTTGTAATACCTAGTCAATTTATTTTCCTTGTCTCCCAGCGAGACACGCGTCCCCTTGCAAAATCGGACGTAACACAAGCATATACAATTAAAGTTGAACCCAGCGTTCTTCGATACAATTAGCCTTATCATATTCTTGCGTCTAACATTCTTGCGATATCTGTATCACCGCTTACAGTCTCCAAACAGTGACGAATGAATTATCATTAAATTTAGTTGGAGAACCATGTAATAATAAAACAAAAATTGTTAAATCAATAGTTTTGTTAAAATTTTCGTCAATATTAACAAACTATGTCTATGCAACTGCATCAAAACTTATATAAATATTTTTTTATTACTGAACCGTAATGACAGTAATAATTAGTAATGACAGAAAATCGCATTTTAACTATTTATAAATAAATTTTTGTTGGTTGCATATAATAATTAGTGGTGCGTAGATTCAATGTTTCTAAAGCTAAAAACTTGGAGCTGTGGAAAGACACGCACATTAAAAGAAAATGTAAAATGTAAACTATAATATAAGTACGATGTAAAATATAAAGAATGAACAATTTAAAATTAAACTAACTCATTCTTTATATTATAAAATATATTTAGAGTAATGTTTCTAAATAAAACTATTATAGCTTATTGACGATACTATTGTTTTTAAATAAAAATATTGTAGTTTATTGACGATATTAATGCAAATATGTAATGCGCTTTTCTTTATTCTGTGTTACAATAATAGATTAGAAATTATATATCAATAGATGTACTTATTTTTACCATAGTTCACACGTTTCGCGGTTGTATTGTGTTTATAATGTGAATATAAATATTAACGAATATACATCTGCATATTATATAAAAATACAAGTCTGTCTGTGTCTTTATGTTTTTTATACAATTCTACACCCATGGTCCGATTAGGATCAAATTTGACAAAATTATTCTATAGAATTTTGCATAAAATATAAGCTATCTTTTAACTTGGAAATCGAACTTTTGCCCCCTAAAATCAATACTTTATATCTAAAAGTATATTCTTATTAAATGAAATAAAATTCCTTCAAATTTTTTCATCATCTTAAATAAATCTTTGGTTTATTACAGTTTTATCGCCCTTTCGCATCACAAAGATTTGAAATGAGTAGAATTTAAAATAAATTATGGCAATTCCGCCATCATAAATACGAGCAATAAAAATATGTTTATACGTCTGCAGTTAACAACTTTTCCTTTGTACTTCCCATATTGTCCAGTGAGCTCCGCCGAGAGGCAATTCGCCCGCAAAAACATACCCCGCAGTAAATCTCAGAATTACATCGCGCGCGATAAAATCAAGCGTGTCACCCTGTACACAAGCTTGGGTCTGCGAGCGCGCGTTTCGCGCACGGTCGCCGGGAAGTTACGCTAACGTTTGCCTGGGCATTAAAAACGAAGTAGGAAAGAACACGGCGACGTAAACGGGGGAGGGGAAAACGAGATAAAGGTGGGAAAAAGGACGACGTACGGGAGGGTGCGATGAGAAAAGTGAAGCGGGTTTCTCGCGGAGAAACTTGAAAAATGCGGCGAAGGCAAAGGATCTCTTTCAGCCTGGTACGTGCCACGCTCGCCTTTCTAAAGAGGAGAAATCACTCGTGCGCATACAACCGCGATCCAAATTCCTATTAATCAGATTGGGTAACACGATATCACGATGGCTGTCCGCGACGGGTGAAAACGAGGTAAAAAGGTTTCCCTTTATTGGCAGTGAAGTTAAATCGGAAAGTCGTTTGATTGCGGCGGAAACGCACCTTCCGTACGTCGATTGGAAAATTTTCAGCGACTGTTTATAAACCAATGTAGAAAATTGCTAGACGAGACTTGGCTGGTAAATTCTAATTAAAGAAATTTATTGCGAAAAATATTACCACAGCAAACGGTTTGCTGTCGCGCCTAATGCAATAGGCACAGTAGCAAAATATTTAGCTATCACAACTAAATGTTAGCTGTCCATATTTTACAACTGAACTTTAGTCGCCACATGCAGTTTTTAGCTACATTTTTCGTTTCGTGAATTCTCGTAAATAACGATTTTTTTTTATTTTTTCGTGTTTTACTGGAACGTTATGATTACTCTTTTAAACTTAGTTTGAAACGCAATAGAATCTAACTTCTCCCCATCTCGGGAATGCAGAAACGCCAAAATGCTTTTCCCGACAATGAATCCGGAAACTCTTCCCCGACGCTTTTTGACGCATCAATTTTTGAAGTTACGCGTGGATTGAACTTCTGCAGAAATACGCCGGAATTTCGGATTGTATGAAGCGACGCGACGGATAATGGCCGAAGAAAGTATTACACCTCGCCAGTCGTCGTTCTCCGACCTCAATTTTCTCTTATTCGCGGTTTCGGCAGTTTATTGAAAAAGCTGAGTGCGAGGGCGGCGTCAAAGTTCGCAATCCGCTCGACGGCGTCTAACCGAAGCGACAAATCGGACGCCGAATCTCATCTCAGATCCGTTCTCCGTTTCATAGAAAATCTTGGAGTACCTGTCATTTCTAATATTAAATAAAACACGAGGGCTATAATTTGTGATATTTACAACAACTGCAGTATAAGAAAGTTTCGCCTCATGTAATGTTTCTATTATATGAACCTAGTACATCTGCTTCTCGAACTTAACTCTTTTTATTGGTTCACATTAAAACGATCCGTCTTTCGGTTGTTTTTCTCGCGAGCGCGGACTAGCTCGTCGGGGCCAGGTTCGCGAACGGATCGAGACACGTAGAGAGTTTAGGCACAATGCGTTTATTCACAGACATACAGATTTCCCGGGCGTCGCGCGATCGCCGGGTCGCCGGCCCGGGCGATAGTCGCAGGAGCCGTCGCAACGGCTGTTACAGCGGGATTTTACAGCGGCGCTGACCGCGGTATTTTACAGCGGGCTTTACGGCGGGACGTTACAGAGTATTTACAACGGTATATTACAGAGTTATTTACAAGTGGGATATTACCGAGTTATTTACAAGTGGGATATTACCGAGTTATTTACAAGCGCGGTCGGGCGCGCGGTTCGCGTTCGGTGTCTCGGCGGCGCGGTGCGCCGGCGCGGGCCGGCAGGCGAGCGCGGCGAGCGCGGGCGCGTTCGGTTCGGCGCGGAGATTCCGGGCTGGTCGCTCCACGTCACGACCACGGGAGATCGAGCGGGGTGCCGGCAAGAACCTGGCGGAGGCAGAGCACGCTCTACCCCCCTTGCCCCTGACTCGAAAGAGAGAGACGGAGACCGGCCGTCCGGACAGCAGTAAGTCCTGCTGGAGGCGAGGAACACCTCACCCCCTTTGTATCCGGGCGGTCGGTTGATAGGAAACTGTTCCAAACGACTCTGATCGGGAGGCCCCGATGGAGGCGGAGTACGCTCCACCCCAACGACTCGGTCGTAGGAACAGCGGAAGGATTCGGGTGCGGAGTGCCTTCGAGCTCTTCAGCTGGTCGGCGGCGGAATCTCTCGTTTCGGCGTTCGTTCGCCCTTTTATATTATTGTTGCCGATTTTGGCGGCGCTGAAATCGGCGGCGAGTGGCGGGGTGGCGCGCTTGCGCCCCTTGGCGCGGTACGGAGTACGCCGGGTGGACGGCTTCGGCCGTTTCCGCGGGGTTTCGGCGCGTGTTCGCGGCTCGTCGCACGGCCGGTGTGGGTGATTAGGCGGCGGGCGCGAAACGCCCGCCCTTCGCCGGATTGTTTGATCGGCGGCATCCGGCGGTCTTAGCCGGGGAACGATGCGGCTCCGGGGTGCATCGTTACAACATATGATATGATATTAAGTATCACTTTGTAAGAGTCGATAGCAACTAAGCTGTAATTTATGCCATTATTTAACAAAAACTACTCTAATTGTATATAACGTCTAAAAACATGACGAGTAGAATTTGTTTATTTAACAATTATAATTAAAACGTTACCTATTTACGTTGTACGCTGTTATTATCGAAAATTATCGGAGTACTTAATCGCAAACGACAAATAAATGAG